CTACTTTGTAGATATTTATTTTTCCTCTCCAGTTTTTATAAATAGACATGACAACTATCTAACCGTCTTCATATTTCATCATTTCAGGAGGAATGGAGCAGTTACACATATTAAAATCCAGAACACAGGTGATTACTATGACTTGTATGGTGGTGAAAAGTTTGCTACGCTTGCTGAATTGGTTCAGTATTACATGGAACACCATGGCCAGCTAAAGGAAAAAAATGGGGATGTTATTGAGTTAAAGTACCCATTAAACTGTGCGGATCCTACATCTGAGAGGTGAGTAGTCTGTCTTCTCTTTATAAGGATTATCAAATTGTGTTGTCTTTTATTGGCTAAGCATGTCACTGATATAGATTTAAGTACAGCTGGACAGACCATTGTAAGGTCAACCATTTGCTTCATTTTTGGAAAGTAAGTAAGTTAACTTTTATTTTTTTCTACAGTATTGTATAAATTGCCAGTGACTGTAATATAGTTTGTCTAAAGGCTCAATTCGTTTTAGTTGGACACATTTTAAAAAAAGTACATCTGAGGGTAGTGAGCATGCTTCAGCTTTGCAGTGGAGGCACCAAGCAGTGCCTTCTTACATTAATGATCCATTGCACTCTTGCTCACCTGAAGTCTCACCTTGTATTTTTGTCACAGCTCAGCCACCTAACTTCCACAGTGCATGTTGTTTTTTATACCATATTTCTGTGTGGTATGAAATATAGCTAAGTTCAAGATGGTAACCGCAGTGCCCCCACCCCCATTGCTGACCATGCAATGCAAAACCTTTTAATTAACAGCTCTTATCTTGCTGTCCCTGTACTGTAATTAATTCGCCACTTCTAGTGCCTGTGCTGATTCCTGTGAGGGTGTGCTCCCTCCCCCTACATTCCTTTTGACCTCGAAAGTACACAGACCGTGATATGAGAGCTGTCAATTTAGAGGTCGTCTTCTTTGCAGAGCGTGGTCAGGAATGGTGTGGGAGAATGCTGTCCCCACCTTGATCTCAGGTCTGCTGTACATAGAATCATGGGATAAAAAGCAATATATACCGTTGGAGTGAAGTGACTGAGCTGTGATTATAATACAACGTGAGACTTTTTCTTTACAGGGCCAGTCCATCTAAGGCAGCGGTTCTCAACCTGTGGGTCGCAACCAGTCGGGGATCAAATAACGATTTGCCAGGGGTCGCCCATCGGCTCCCGGCCGCCCGGGAAAGAAATACTTTCTAGGTAAGCTTGCACCCCCCCACATGGTGCTGCATTCATGTATTGCTGGGGTAGTGGGATTTGTAGTCCTCTGTAGCTGCTCAGCCCTCTCCTAGCACAGCAGTGTCAGTTCTCCTGCCACGCCGCCAGATGTCGCTGCAGCAGCCGCGTCATCCCTAAATTTTACCGTTGGGGGTCACCACAACTTGGCAAATGTTACCATGACCTAGAAAGGTTGAGAACCACTGATCTAAGGGCTCTTGCACATGGACCCTTGCACCTGCACAACATTGAATACTGGTGCATTTCCCCTGCCAGGTGCTGCATGCAGCCTCCCATATAAGTCTATGACTATACATGACTGTAGGTGGGTATATGTCAGTAGTAAGGCCCTGCCCTAAGGGCAGGTTCACACCATTTTCTGGACCAGATGTGGTCCAGAAAATGGTGTGAACTTGCCTGCAGTTCCAGTGCATTCTAGACTAGACAAAATGAGACATGCAGTACATAAGGATACATTAGGATGCATTTTAGGTCCGGAAACAATCTGGTGTGGATGTGGTGTGAATGGGCCTCAAAACAAGCATAGAAATGAAGAACACTGACTTTTTTTTCCCCAACTCTTGTTTGTCACATTCATATTTTGGGTCAGAGACTAAAATGAAGCCAGGCAACTATTCTTTTCAGAAGGAGGCTTTTCTTTTTGACAAGTGGCAGTTTAAAAAAAATAACTTTACTTTTAAAGAACTGCATCTTAACCCACTCACTCACCCACTCACTCTGTCCTCCTCTATACTGTGTATATCTGTTCATGTCACAGATCACTGGGTGGCCCAGTCCAGAAGCTGCAACCTACACATAATGGCACTTTGGGGCCGTTTCAAGCAAGTGGTACCACAGAGTAATACATATGTGAAGCTGTTCTCCCTCGCTCCCAGTAGAAGTCTACTTGCAAATCTGCAGGTCGATGACGTTTCCATTTGAGCAGTGCTGTGTGGCCTCGCTGGTTTAAAAGATGACCAGAGTGCTGCCTGGTATAAGCCACAACTCCTGGACCAGGTCGCCTAAAGAACTGAGATAAGTGGTGTAGCTTGAATAGGGAGGGAAAAAGGGGCCTTTTAAGAAGTACAATTCTACTTTAAGATGGGTTTAACTTGATCTTTCATATATGCCAACTCTAATGTTGTCTACTGTCCCCTTTAAGTTGATGACTATTAATTTTTTTTGCTTGTTGATTAGGTGGTTTCATGGTCACCTCTCTGGGAAGGAAGCTGAGAAGTTGTTAACTGAGAAAGGTAAACATGGAAGCTTTCTGGTTCGTGAAAGCCAGAGCCACCCTGGAGATTTTGTCCTGTCTGTTCGTACTGGTGATGACAAGGGCGAGAGTAATGATGGCAAGTCTAAGGTGACGCATGTCATGATACGGTGCCAGGTAATTTGTCTTGAGAAACACTTCACTCATTTCTTTGATCTGTCTTGTCTAGAAATAAGTGTTCTATTGATTTTTAATGGGGAGGAGGGAAAGGTTTTCTTCCAGAAAATATAGTGATGTGTTCAGTAAGTTTTTAATCAAGCACACATGGCCTTGTTCAATAATTTAGATCTTATTTTTAAAGGCAACCGTAAATAAAACAATTGGACTAGGCCAAGACAGAGTTTGATTGGCTATAATGGGTTGCTGCAATTAAAGTAAAAAAAATGTAATCTGTTGAAGATTATCAGTCTTTGGATGTGGTTACTGCAGAACTTTTGTTTTTTTATGGCCTTTTTCTCTTTTTATTTTTACTTGGTGATTCTGCTAGTAACACACTTTCTGTCCTAAGGTGACTCACTATACTGTATCACTGAAGGAGCAGCGTTGTCACCCTAGTTCAGGAAGTGTTTTAGTGCTGCAGAAAGCATCCCCTTTTCTTAATCTCCATAACATATGGGGAAGGTGCATAAAGCAAATAGTCGGCACACGATTACGAGGCTGACAGGAGCAGACGTTTTGCATCGGGAGGCCCAAGAAACTGAGATTTGATCTGAAAGGTAGAGCTCCCTGTATTTACATTACTTGTTGTCATAAGGGGGGAAGGTGTTCTTTAGTTCAGAGGAGAGCTGGGCATGGCTAGCAACTGCTTGAGCTTTCAGTGCAGCACAGGCAGAGAGAACAGGAAGTTACCAACTCGCTGGATTTCTGGCTGGACCAACAGGTATTTTGTTGCGCTTAATAAACAGTTATAACAAAATACTTTCAATTTGATTAAAAGTGACACTAAACTCAGGAGTTAAAGGTTAAAAAATGTATTCATGTACCTTAACTAATAACAAAAATGTATCTTATTTGTGCATCAGCTGTAAATCCTCAAATCATCTCCTTGATTGGTGCTGACACTATCCTTCCTTCTGGAGGGTGACTACTTTTTTCCCCCATGGTCCCGGTGTGTGTTGTAAAGCTCGCTCCTGCGATGGACTACCATCTTGATACAAATTGGTAAACTAAGCGTGATATTTTAGTCCATCACGGGAGCGAGCTTGGAGCGATGACTACTTTACAACACACACCAGGACCATGGGGAACAAAAGTAGCCACCCTCCAGAAGGAAGGGCAGTGTCAGCATGAATTCAGAGATGATTTGCGGATCTACAGCTGAGTGATCCACAAATAAAATACATTTTTGTTACTAGTTAAGGCACTTGAATGCATTTTTAAGATTGAACTCCTGAGGTACTGTCACTTTAACAGACTAAATTGAACAAATAAGACAAAGTTAATTGTGGTTGATCTGTGTGAACCTCTCCCCTCTATATTATGTGTCTGTTTTTTTCAGGATTTGAAATATGATGTTGGAGGAGGAGAGAAGTTTGATTCTCTAACAGACCTTGTGGAGCATTATAAGAAAAACCCTATGGTGGAAACACTTGGGACGGTACTGCAGCTGAAACAGGTAGAAGGTCATATGCACTCCTTTCTATACACATGAAGCTACTATCTGCATCCCTTTTTTTTTTTTTTCTAATTCTTTTTTTTTTTTTTATTTTTTTTTTTTTTTTTTTCCAGCCTCTGAATACAACCCGTATAAATGCAGCAGAAATTGAAAGTCGAGTAAAGGAATTGAGTAAACCTGCAGAAACCGCTGATAAATTTAAGCAGGGCTTTTGGGAAGAGTTTGAGGTATGTAGATATAAACTAAACATAGAACACTAGATATGACATGGTAGTGGATGTGGTTATGTGATCCAGTGATCAAGATTTCTTCCCAGTCTTCTCAGATGACTCGTGCATGCATATGTATAGTGGAGGGAGGAGGACTACCAGATGGCACCGGTGGCAGTTTGTGTTGGGAGTATACACTGGCAAAGGGCCTGGAAACCCCAACCTGGGTGATGGGATGGGCCTGTTGGTGGAAAAATTACAGGCTGCACCTTGTTTCCACTAGAGGGAGCTGCTAAGACAGTCGACACATTGAAATCAATAAAGAGCCAGTCTTCTGCTTCTAAACCGTGCTCCCTAGTGATGGTCACAAGCAGTTTGTTGACATGCCAAAGAAGTTCTAAGTCTTCTAAAGATGACTATGCTATTGTACATTGATAAACGCTAAACTAACACCTCTTTTTGGGTTATTTAAAGAACAACTCCAGTTAAAGCAGGGCTAACTCCAGTTACAGCAAGGTTATATATTAATGATCACATGTCCCCTTTAAGGGAGATCCCACCATCGTACCAATGATGCAACTATAATACGGTATAAAATTCATGTAATTTAACATTTGTAACACAACATTTTTAAAAAACCTATAAAATACTGTATTGCACACTCTAATCCCTCGGCTATCTGAAGATAGAATAAATCTTGTAAATAGACACAAAATGTCCGAAACGGATGGTGTCTGATGTTACACATGATCCAGAGCTCATTAGCTCTTCATTCAACATTTCACACTCCTAGAGATGTGATACGATTTGGATTGTGAAACTTGGATGCTTTATTTGGATCGTGAAACTCGGATGTCCTGTTTGGCTTGTGTACATGTTACACACGGACTTTCTTTGATTACTCCTACAATTTAGGACCCTTCGAATCATTTTACCTAATATTGGAAACTGGAGGTCTGTGGATTATATTCGTTTATACACAGTACTTGATCTTTAGCAGTTTCTGACATTTTGTGTCCATTTACAAGATTTATTCTATCTACAGATAACCGAGGGATTAGAGTGTGCAATACAGTATTTTATAGGTGTTTTTAAAATGTTTTGTTAGAAATGTTTAATAAATTATACTATATTGTAGTTGCATCATTGGTATGATGGTGGGATCTCCCTTAAAGGGGACATGTGGTCATTAATATATGATATAACATAGGAGACCCACTATTGGAGATTTATTATCTTACTGCGACTAGAACCCTCCTTCCCCGTTTGTGTGTGTGTGTGTGTGTGTGTGTGTGTGTGTGTGTGTGTGTGTGTGTGTGTGTATATATATATTAAAGCGGGGCTCACTCCAGTTGAAAGCGGGGCTCACTCCAGTTGAAAGGACTAACTGGTCGTTTTTGCCTAGGGTCAAAAATAACAGTTATGCACACCCAAACCTTTTGAGCCGGTCGGGGAGTAGTCCCACTACAAGGGTAATGACCTTTTTAACCAGAGTTCTGCTTTGAGGAAGATGCATGAGATGGTTTAGATAAGAGGTGTGTGTGAATAGTAAAATCACTGCTATCACTTAAGTATTAAAAACTCTATGTAGTCAGCCTAAAGTCCTTTTAACTATGCTGTGAACACCAGCTTTTGCTTACAGTAGGGAACATCTGCCATCAGTTTCTAAATACAGACCTTTAACTACAATATCTAAGCTGTGGGCTGTAAAATACTCTGTAGTGCAATGAAAGCAATTATTTTGACTTTGAAGCTAGCATTTTGTGCCCTGTAATTAACAGGAAAGAGAACATGAAGGGGCATGTTTGTAAACATTTTGTGAGGTTATATAAGACTGTTGGGTTGTGAGCACTTTGACTTGTGTTTGATACGAGCCGTTTTCTAGCTTTGTGGCATTGCAGTATTCTGTCTCTGCACTGCTGGTATGGAGGTGTCTAACGCTGCAGTGTATAAGACTGAGTATACTTCTGCATAATAAGATCTGTGGGATGTAAAGAGACCAGACCTTGGTGGAAATGCTAGTATTTTATTACCAGCTAAAAACTGCAAGCACATGACCTGTTCTCTGTGAATACATAATCAGATCTTAAGACTTTACTTTTTTTTCTCCTGTATTAATATACACAAATTGTACATACTATAAATGAATAACATTATATGGTGGCTGAATTCCTGTAATGTACATTGCAATATTTTGCATGCAAGTGCAATGTGTTTTTTTGGGTGGTGTGCCTAATTTTCAAACAACTAATCCGATTTCTGAGGACCTCTGCAAATCGCCATTTATTTTTTTAAAAAGGAATCGCAGTAGATCAGGGGTAGGCAACATCAGCACTTCAGCTGTTGTGGAATTACAAGTCTTATGATGCATTGCAAGACTCTGGCAGCCACATGCATGGCTCCAAGAGGCATGATGCTATTTAGTTTCACCACAACTGGAGTACCAAAATTGCCTTCTCCTGCAGTAGATGTTGCATTGAACTGTAATGCTGCGCCTCTGCCTCCCCCTCTTCCCATGAGCTGCCGACACTAGAAAGCCAGCGACAAGTGTCCCTCCTCAGCTGATTGACAGCAGACAGTGGGCGGGTGCAATAGCCAGCCTGCTATTGCAATTTGAAATAGCCAATAGCAGGCTGACTATTGCTCCCAGCCACTGCCTGCTGTGTTTACATTCAGCTGTCATTCCCCAGGTAAAGCTATTGAAGTGGAAAGGTGACACTAGGGGTCTAATAGACTCCTAATGTCAACTTAAAGAGAACCTGTCATCTCCCATGTGCTATCACATAGGGGGCTAGTGAGCCCCCCCCCCCATGTAATGGCAATTAATTAATACATTGCTATTACATTGTTCTGGCAATGCGATCAGGGTGGGAATGGCAAACCTCAGTAGAGAGAACAACTTTTCTTTTAGAATAAAGCATGTTTTGTGCCAGCAGCAATTACAGTAAACAAGTCTTCTGCTACGTTACATAGTTACATAGTATTTGGGGTTGAATAAAGACATACGTCCATCAAGTCCAACCCATATAGGTCCATACGTCATCTCATTCTTAGGGATACTGAAAAGCGTGAATGAGAAACCTGTAACAAATAAAACATAGGTGTTATTCCAATTTGGCAGCAACTTTAAGAGTTTTTGTTTTTCTTCTGTTTTTAAAAGATAGAGAAAGCTTTTAAAAGTTTTGTTATCAACTCTCTTAACATGATGTAGTTTACAGAATGGTTCTGCTGGTTTTATGTTTGGCTTGCCTTGCTGATGTACAACTGAGATGTCCGTTGTTGAAAGTTTTGGAATTGTGACCACGGAACAATTACAATTGTCCAGTTTCGAGATACTACTTAGAACATTAAAAGACAGATCTCTATGGCTTTCTGCTAACAACCACAATCCATGCAAATCTGTAGGGTTCCCTATAATCCGTTTTTAAATACAGTTTATTTCTTGTGTAGAAATTAACAGCTTCTTTGTTTGAAGCTGGAGGAGCAATCATTCTGTTTTAATGAGTGAGAAAAGATTTTAATATATTGCCATGAGCGCACAGTGTTCAGCCTCCATGCTCCGATTTGTCTGGCGCTTTGACAAATACAATGTGAAAGTTATTATGGTTCTTTATGCAATTCTTCAGCACATGCGGGATAGAAAACACTAAAAATACCCTGCATGCAAACAGGCATTTGTCTATTAGTTTCAGGAGACCTCATACTGTCAGGATTCCTGCTCATCCATCAATTGGTAACCGGAGAAAGTTTGTTTGGAAGGGTTTTTAAAAAATGGTTTTCAAAAATCTTTTTCTTTCCTGTACTTTTCAGAGTGAGCTATGTGGCTTGTCTTCTATTTCTTATATTAATTAGATCTCACAGACTTCCTAAATATTTTATTTCAATGTCTTAGCGTGGCACACTGCTGCAGACTTCACAAAATATTTACAGCTATGAATATAGGAATGCTTCTGCTTGGTCCGGGATTCAAGTTTTTGCTGGTAATGAAGTGCTGAGGTTATTTCCACCTCTGCATGTCCATGTGTGAAGCATTATGGTGTCATCCACACAAGGGAGGTATATTTTAGGAACGCATTGGCAGCAGACCTCATTGTGGCTCTGACTGACAGTTAATTGCTCAGTCTGGGAGATGGCGATTCAGCAGGTGAAGAGAAAGCACAAAACATCTGCTTTAAATGACAAAGATAAAGCTTTCTTGTGAAATTGGCTCTATTACAATTTTTTTTCCCCCCTTCATTCCTTTTAGACCTTGCAGCAACAAGAGTGCAAGCTACTGTATAGCCGCAAAGAGGGACAGAGACAAGAAAACAAGAACAAAAACAGATACAAGAATATTTTACCTTGTAAGTACAGCACATTACTGTGGATAAGTGGGCTTTAGTACCCGTGAGAGATATTACATTCACAGGCTGCCTTCAGTATTAAGGAGACATTGTCAGCTTTCTGATTAATGGCTTTCCTTAGTATGGTGAGCACTTTGCCATTGTCCCCAGACCGAGCATATTCAGCACAAGGAAAAAAAATACAGTGTCAGAGTTCTTTCATCTACTTCAGACTTGTCATGGTCACCGTTTTTAAAGTAGTTCTGCCTAGCTGGCAAAATGACCTTTAACAGTGTTTGTGTGTGTCATTGAGGGATTTAGGCTTGGCAGGCATTGAAAAATGTGTATTGTGCACCCCCTTGTGATTTGATGGTGTCTCACCAGTCAGTCAAAAATGTCACCAGTCAGCATGACCGGACTATAGTCTTGCAATTTAACAGTAGGTGTTCGCCCACTTCCCGATCTACTGAGCCAACCTGTGACAGTCTCATTGTCACAGGTCGGCTAGAACTATGAGGTGAGTGAAAAGCACTCACCTCATAGTTCTCCTTTTAGGCAGGGTTCCCACCTAGGTGAGCGAAATATGCGTGTATGCGGTCCACGAAACGCGCGTTTACGAGGGCTATCCGGCTGTATCCTAATGGATACGCACGGAAATATGCCCCAAAGAAGCTCCTGTACTTCTTTGGGCGTAGGGCGTTTTTCAGCGCATTCCGACGCGCTGAAATACGCCCAGGTTGGAACCATGCCCATAGGAAATAATGGCTCTAAAATTATTGCTCTCACTCCGACGTTTGCGGCAATATGTAAGATGTGCGGCACAATAGACGCAATCGTCTTCGCACGTTGGCGCACCCGACGCATATCTGTGTGTGTACGTGGGGGGCGGGGACTTAAAAATTTTTTTAAAAAGAAAACATTTTTTTTATGCTTTATTTGTTTTTTATGATTCTTTAATTTTTGTATTTTTTTTTTTTTTTTTACACACAACTTTATTGCTATTACAGAAGCCCCCTATGGGATAGGCAATTTACATGACAGGTCCTCTTTATGGAGACATCAGGGGGTCTCCAAGACCCCTAATGTCACCTAGGGACCCCCAGAGAAGCTGATGAAGCAGAGATCGGCTTCATCAGCTTCCCTAGCTGGAGAGTGACACTGAATGCAGGAAGTGATGTAATATACATCACTTCCTGCATTCGGGGACTGAGAGGAGATCAAAGGGAGTTCGTATACTGATCTCCCTTTGATCTCCTGGCCCAGAGCCGTGCCGCTCCCGGCCGCATCGGGCAAAGCGGATCTCGGACCGGCAACTGCAGTTACAGCTGCTGATAAAAGCGATCGAGCCTCTCTAGAGACTCCCGATCGCTTGACTGTAATGCCCCCGGCCGGCCGTATAATTACAACGGCTGGCCCGGGAAGCTGCTCGTCGGGCTCCACCGTCCTCTCGTCACGGACGAGTACCTTTTTTAGAGGTCTCTGTTAAGCAGGCCATTAGACATACTGCAAGCTTCTCTGTATGTTTTAAAAGCGACAGCAAACCCTTGTCTGTCCCTATAGAAAGACTGGGGACAGACTGAGCTTCCTCTCAACATACAATTCTCTTTAAATTTGTAACCCTTTGTTGGGACAAATATTCAAATCTAGTTCACATCTGATAGTGAGATCTGCCAGCGCAGTGCAGACAGGGTTCATTATAGTAACGCTGCCCTTGCATCCTAGAAAAAAAAATCTGTTTAGAGGATAGTCTTAGCATAAGAAACATGTAATATATATAAGCTGCAATTTGTATTCTATTAAGTGAAGCTACATGAATGAGAACATGTAACAAATATAAGATAGGTGTTATCCCTATTTAGCTGCAAAAGTGGAAATGCACTTTAAAACAGAAGCCTGATGTTTCATTCGCTGGGGGTTAACGCTTTGTCTCTCCCAGACATTAAGTAAACCTGTACTTTCTTGAACTACAAGGGTTGCCTTTGCTGACATCTCCTTCTTCAAATGCTAGTTGCCTGGCTGTAATGCTTATCCAGTACCTTCTGACAGTCATTTATTACTGTAAATTTAACTTGTTGCACACTTTTTCTGGGTCAGTGACTGAAGCCAGAGACAGCCAAGAAGTAAAAATTTTCAGGTCAATAGTAGCAGCTTACTTTATTCTTCTCAGAGTTTCATTTAAAGTACAGGGCACGTGAAATTCTGAGGTTGATGCGCAAAATCTGAGGCCACCTTCTCGCCTGGTTCTATAATATCGTTAGTTCTACTTAGTCAGCAGTGATAAAAATGTCTCTCTACTATAACTTATTCTCTTTCAATGCAGTCGATCACACAAGGGTTGTTCTTCATGATGGAGATCCTAATGAGCAAGTTTCCGATTACATCAATGCCAATACTATAATGGTAAAATCAGTTCTCACTTACATTAACATCCATTTCATTCATTAAAACCAAGCACGATTGTGTTTTTTTTTCATTAATATAATTACTATATTTCTATTTACAGCCTGAATTTGAAGCAAAAAGCAACAATTTAAAACCCAAGAAACGTTATATAGCTACTCAGGGATGCTTGCAGAATACAGTGAATGATTTCTGGAGAATGGTTTTTCAGGAAAACTCCAGGGTCATTGTCATGACGACAAAGGAAGTCGAACGAGGCAAGGTGTGTGTCATACGTGGTTGTCTTATATGTTGTGACAGCCTGTGAATTACTCATCAATTAAACATATGAACAAAATTGGGGCTATAAAGGTATACACCACACAAGACTACAAGACATTTTGGAAAAAGGGTAAAATATACCAGCTTTATTAATAACATTAACATTCTTATTACACATATAAAATCATCACTCCAGCCATGGTTGAGCAAACTCCAACGATCTCCTCAGCAAGAATAACTGTACAAGGTATAAACCACACTTTGTGAAGTCACAACCTGTGATCCAAGTATGTAGCTGTGGTAAGTTCAATGACCAATAATCTATTGAGGTCTCATTCTCTACGCATTTTGCACCCACATGGGAGGGGGCTTCCTCAGGAGGGAGATGCTCTTGTCTGCTTACATAGCCGGAGGATGAAAAGAAACAATAGAGCTTTAAAAATTAGACAATACCACCAGAGTAGTAGCTGGCTGAGAGGAATCGTGCAGAAATTTTTACATTTGGCGTGACAGTATCACATTTAACACATCTACGCTCCATATTTATAGGTCGCAAGGCCATGCTTCTACTATACCTCTACTATGGTGGTATTGTCTCACGTTTTTAAAGCCCTATAGTTTCCCTTGATAATTATATAAGTGGAGTTTCCACTCAGTTTGTAGCATTTTCCTTTCACTTTTCATCTCCTGTTGTATCTTCAGGACAGGCAGTAAGGAGATCTCCCCAAAACAGAAAAAAATTAACTGAACATGCACTAAGCTGGCTATTAGTATGCATAGAAAGTGCTGGGAGTACAGTAGTGTAACTTTTTTCCCCCTTACTATTGGTATGTTATGAATTGACACAGCTAGTTGAATGTAACCATGATAAGAATATGAGGTATTAAATGTAACCATGTAATAAACCGAGTCTGAATACTCAAGAATAAGTAAGCTGATTTAGTAATGACCCGTACTTAAAACTAGGGATATATTAGGGATCTACTGATACTAGTATTGGGGCAAGTACTCGTACTCACCCAAATGCTCCGATACCAGAACTTGCGGTCAGAGGGAACATGGAGGCATTGCCGCAGGGGAACATGGAGGCGGTCCGATGCTGATAGGCTGGGAAGCTGGCTTCCTGGCCAATCAGCAAGAAGTCGGCTTCCAAGGTGATCAAGAAGCCGGGCGGCAGCCAATGACACTCCACCCGGCTTCCTGATTGCCTGGGAAGCCTGCTCCATGCCAGCGGAAGTATCGGTACTCTGTATCGGCGAGTACCGAAATATAACTATCAGTACTCGATACCAAAAAAATTGGTATCGGTGTATCCCTACTTAAAACAGTTTAGTTGTAGCTTAATATACTGTTAAAGCTAAAATGATCTGTTAAAACTTTAATCATAATTACTAATAGCCACAAATTATATAAAACCACTTTGTGTGCACCATACACTTTTTAAAATCATGATACAGAATTTCCTTGTAAATGTAGCAGTGACTGTTCATCACTGTGCTGCACAAAACCTGTGCATAGAGCAGAGCCAGTGGGAGGGGGCGGATACAAGACCAGCCACCCTGCACAAGGAGAAAGACTAGCTGTGACTAGTCTTAAGTACAAGAAGCTCCTGCACAGAGGTAACGTTTCACTGTACACATTTGGAAGAAATACACAAAGCGTACCAGTATTCAAGTAAGGATAAAACATGTTTTTTAAACTTCAACTAGACTTGCTTATCCTGGAGTTTAGCCTTAACTCTTATGGCATTTTGTATCATTGTGATCTTACTAAGAACTGGAGCTCATTCTGCATAGCTAGCAATCAGATATAAGGGCAGGCCTGATGCTGCTTGGTGATTGAGGAGAAGTAACTCCAGTAAGAACACACTGGTACATATGGTGCTTTGTGAACCTTTATGCAATAAAAAAGTAGGACTTGGTTTATTTGTCAGCAATAAAACGCTGAGATCAGAACAGGTGTACGGTTTTCAGATGGCTTTCATTGTCCTCTGTGAAGAGATTAGCTTTATTTACTGCATGCTTTATTTACTATCACTTCTCTGGAGCGCCATAGCAAGAAAGCTGCAATATTATTGCCATTGATTATAATGTGTTATTGATGAATGCAATGAACAAGCACACCATTGTGCAAGAAGCCTACATGTACCTCAGCTGTTTGGATAGCACTTTTGTTTATTTTACATTTATTTGAATCCCAATTCCTTGGAGGAGTGGGTTGGCTCACTCTCCAGCTTATGGTGAGATTTCTCTGCAGCAGTTTCTCGCTCCGTCCCTCACCCTCAATGAAGGTGTCGCTCTTCCAACTGGACTTTACAATTATTGATTTCTTTTACATTATGTTTTATAAATGGGGCAGTTTGGGATGATCACATGACTTTGTAATATATGCAGCATGTATTCATAATAGGGGATGTGTCGTCACTGGAGTCTCTAAGGCCGGATTCACACACTTGCTCTCTGACCATTTCTAATGGCACCCCAATGCACCTTGGCAATTCATGTACATTGCAGCACACTGTACTGTGCATTGTGGTGCACTGCATCTTCAAATTAATGGTCTGCCTTAAAGGAATGCACATTGACTGCTTTAGAGAAGCCAGAATGCAAATTTAAGTTCGAGCTCTGGGTGGAGTTTGCTAGTTACAGAAATTTGTCACCTATTTTGACAGTAGGTATATTTGTTTTCCAGAGTAAATGTGTTAAATACTGGCCAGAGGAGTGTGCCCTCAAAGAATATGGAGTTATGCGAGTGAGAAATGTCAAAGAAACACCATCTCATGACTATATATTAAGAGAACTTAAACTTTCAAAAGTAGGACAAGTAAGTGCTGTATTTTCCTCTTCTTGGCTTTTTTTGAGAACTGTGCCTTAAGCAGTGAATAACACCCCTGCTATTAATATACTAGGTATAAAGTGTATTCTTTTTCACTCTGCATTCCCCCAGGAGATTGTCAGCTAACTGAAGATAATACTTTATTTTATTCATTTAAGGCAAACAATGAAAGGACTGTATGGCAGTATCATTTCAAAGCTTGGCCAGATCATGGAGTACCTACTGACCCTGGTGGTGTCCTGGACTTTTTAGAAGAAGTTCACCATAAGCAGGATGGTATACCAGAACCTGGACCTGTTGTCGTTCACTGCAGGTAAAATGTATTGTACAGACTATATGGAACCAGGGCTAAAATACATGGGAAGCTTATGGGGTCAGTGCATAAAAATCAATTCAAGGCAGTGAAGGCTCCTTTTTAAATGCTATCTGGCGAATGATGTAGTGTGAAAGTTCTCCTTAATCCACTGCAGCCGCAGCACACACAACTTATTACACGTTTGTACAGCACAATATTTTTAAAAGCATGTGCTGTGCAACTATATTTTTTTCTCTCTCTCTGATTGCTGCTCAGCTGAAAAATTGCAGTTCATTGCAGGTAAGATGTACTTCCTGTCTGAATTGGACTTTCAGTTTTGACTGAGGTGCAACTCCGCCTAATTTGGAATATTCAATGCTGATTGAAGGGATGATATTTAGCACTGCATGCAGGGACAAGTTTTAGCAGCCTTTGAACTGTTACTGAATTCCTCACTTTGGGTGTTACCATTTTGCCTTGATTTAATTATGCTGGGTAGTCCCTCTCCCCCCGCTACTGTTATCTGGAACAAAACCATATGATGCTGAGGTCTCCATAGCATAATTATTTCTAGTGGCTGATCCAGTTTGCTGTGTCCCGAGTACTGCTGTCTACTGCATGCAGCTTATGTGTATAACTTGCTTGGGTAGTACTGACGTATATTTAATATAGATTCTTGCCAATAAGGCTCTGTCACTGATGATAGGTGGGCAGGACTTAGTACCAAGCCAAAAATTTGAGGCCCCCATAGTAAAAAAAAAAAAGCAGGCCTAGCAGAGTAAAAATAGGTCTGACTGGTCACGGAGAAGGATGTGGATAAAAAATATAATCACTGATGCTTTGTGTTGTCTGTTCCTAAGCTGGCCATACACTATACAAATTCGCACAGTGGGTGCTGTTGTTGGCAGCCTTTTGGCCGGCATCCCGGCCAATTGCTACTTAAAGGAATCGGTTGAAAAAAATCTTTGAACGAACAGAGCTGGCAGCAAATGAGCTGCCGACTCTGTTCCGGTATTCTAACAGAATACAGTGCAAAAGGCAGGAGATTCCTCGGTTAACATTTGTAAGCGTTGATAGAGGAATCTGTAATATTTTTTCTTCCTTCAACCTGCAGGTTGAAGGAGGAAAATACTACAGTGCATGGCCACCTTTAGGCAGCGGTCTTGGTTTTAGATAACTAGACTGGAGGATACATTCTCTTTTTCAGAATCTCTACACATTGTAGATATGTTCAAATCGTTGTTGGCCAGCACATTCAGTGTAGAAAGTGTAGATGTCAAATCTCTCCGTAAAATATTATTGCGCTGTGCTGGAGACTTTTCTCATGAGATTTGGGCTACTTGACGTTCCCAGGGTCTTGCTGAAAGGCTTGTGGCGTCAGTCACCCTTTTGCGCAGATGCCAGCTGTAAATACAGTATTTCCCCCCTATGGTTGTGAGTGCTATCTTGTATTAATTTATGATGAGGGGGGGGTTAGGGCAGGCTGACGTAGAAAGCGGTCCTTGAATTTTAGTGCAAGGTTTGCTTTAATATTTAATGCTTCTTGGAATTAATTTTTCCTGGGGAGGGCTGTATGCTAGAATGCCACAGTTGTGTGCTTATTTCAGCCACTCGTTACTTACATATTCTGTATAAATGAATGATATCTAGGTATTTCTTTCCCTACAGCTAGATATTTGAATGTTGTGGTCGTTCCATCTTTGCCTAAGGGTGTTTTAAATTTGCAGACTAGCCATTATTTTTTTTATTGAAAAAGTGGCAGTCTATTGTTTATGCTTCAATAAAATAAATGGGTATTATGTGCTGCCAGCAGGAATATGTTGCTTTTCAGTCTGCGCAATAAGTCTGTGTTTTGGAACTCCAGGACCGTCTCTTGCTCACCGCGCTGCTGTTTTCTTTTATTAACAGTGCAGGAATAGGACGTACAGGCACTTTTATTGTGATTGATATTCTCATTGATGTCATCCGAGAAAAAGGTGGGTATCGACACTGTCTCTTGTCACCAGGCACATGGCTCTAGAGATATGGGGATATTTGATGTTATATGTTCAATTCCGTCTTCCCAAGCTGATTTCATGTAATCTTTTAAATCATTGATAGAAAAAACACATGCCTTGTATGACTGTCTGTTTTGATTATATGTTTGTTATAAATCTGTTCACCTTATTCTTAAACTGTGCTGTGCTTCCTTTACATGAAATTGTTTGAGACAATTGGAGGGCAATGTCATCCCCCCTAATTCCAAATGTGATGGGAAGGTTCACAAACCGTGCATGTTGGAGTGCCCGAGGTTTTGCAGGTTCCGGGATATTCAGGAAGACATGCATGTTGGTACTAGAGGGTGTCTGCTTTTCACTTATGTCACCCTCCAGTGCCCAGACTTGGCACCTCTGCTTATCTCTGCTTCCCCATTGACCAATGGCACCACCACAAGGATCTGTGCAAAAATAGACTTTCCCTGAAAGATACTTCTAGGCCTCTGCTGTATGTGAATCTCAGCCCACCACAAGCATACAGCGAGTACAAAGTTTCTTTAATTGTTTATATTACCATCACATAAACAGCCAAAGCATTTTGGGAGAATTCCCCCTTCATAAGGGCTTAGAAGAATGGAATGGTAATTTTAAATGGACTCAAAGGTAAGTATAACCAATTTGATCTATATTGGATGTGGTGTAAAATCTCCATTGGGATTGCAATTATAACAATGTATTTAGCAGCAGTCAGTCTCAGCCTGCCATGGCACTAGAGCCTTAACTGATGGTAATTCAGCACCAAGCAAAACTTGAAAGGAAGGCAGGGAAATGTGCGTTTCTGCCACACCCCACAATTACTGGGATTTTTAGTAGGGCAATCGCACTGATTACAATAGCAGACAGGAGCAGTTCATATAGGCACTGATGGGTACCTGCTTTGCAGAGAGGGGCAAAAATATGGAGGTGAGTTTTAATATACAGTAGGTGTGATTGAACTATACTTGAAAGTAACAGTTTCTGTATTTCATGGTATATCCACTTCCCCAGTTTAAAACATGATGGCAAATCTGTTGTTAACAGAGATAACAAAACAGTGCCGTCTTTAACATTATCCTATGTATTCATACCACTGCAAGCTCCATTAGCTTTCCACTGAAGATTTCAGTGATGGGGGCAATAGATATATTAAATGTGTAGCAAGCAAACTCAGTCAACAGAGAATTTAAGGCTTAAAAAGTCAGTATAAAGAGTTCAACTATTTTATAATAGGGCATACTGGTAGAAAAAGGGACTGGCTATGCATAGATTAAAAAAATATATATATTTTTTTACATATTAAGATTATTATTATTACATATTACATATTAAGATTATTATTATTACATTTTGTCAAAATATCACAAGACACAAGAACAAAAAAACCATAGGCAAAACAGGATCACCAGAAGGCGAATACGATTAAAATTATTTTACGCAATAGCCATGATAAATGCATTTTTTTAGGAAAACTATTTAGTCTAGCCACATAAAGCAGCTGAAAATGTTGAAACCTTATAGCTTAAATTTCCTTTCTTTTTATAATCTGCAAAAAGCCCTACAGGCTGTGGACCTTCTACTGCCCCACCGAGAAGTCTCAGCTGCAGCTCTAAACATCTCTGCATCCCTAGGAAAGCTCTGGATTAGGCTGCGGTTTATTACTAATTTTGGAGGACGCCCTGTCAACTCCTTTTACTGTCTTTTATTCCTTTTCTCATAGCTGAAAGGTCTCGATGATCTAATAAGTAAAACAGTTTTCTTGAAACTGCAGCCAGCCTGAAATAAGCTTATCCTTCTAGTTAGATGTTTGCAGCATGTGTAATATCATACATTTCTCAGCATGTTGAGGAAGAACCCCCCAGTCTAATGATTTTAAATACAATTGGTGCACACTTTTGGAAAAGCATGTAATATGCAGTTCAGGACATGACACTTTATCTGGCCTTCGGATGGTTTCACCCTTGGTACTCTGTTATGTAAATACTGGTTTCAACTAGGAAGTTGATGCTTTGGTCTCTTCCCTGCCTCTTATGCGTTGCCCTTTGCCCACCGATAAGCAATATTGAGGGTCTGAAGATAAGATTGGGTTGACCAAAGTTTCGGCTACCTAGTTAATCTGTATTAGCTCTAGGTAGATGCGACAATATGGGCAGCTCTACCTAGAGCGAGGATGGCTGAATGCTGTATGAGGTAATTTAACTTTCAAAGTATTTTATTAATTTTCCAAAGTACAATAAAACAATAAAATAGCACATGACGCACAATCAGTATAGCATACAATTGCATTACAGTTTCTTCCACATTAGCATAATCATGTAGTAGGAGGGGGATCAATAGAGGCCATACACACAATATATAATAGTTCTGTACAACAGAACATATCTCTCCACCTATTCTTGCCAATTTATCCCCCATCACCAAAATCAAAAATCAGAACAGTCTGAGAGGAATATCTGGCCTAGGGATCCGTCTATGTCTGAAGCAGACATTTGTTATGATCTCCTGTATGAGGTGATTTAATGTGATTTCCAGTCCAGCGATTCTTCCCCATCTCTCCTAACGGAAACTCCGCCTAGGAGAGAATGTGCTGAAGTCTGAGCTTTGAAGCTGTGATTGCAATGCTTTCCAGGCTTGAATGCAAATATTAAGGAAATGCATTTTTTATATATTTTTAATTTTGCGTTTCTTTAATTTTTACAAAAGGTGAACTTATCCTTTAAAATGATAGTTGCCTGGCTGTCTCTGATTTTAGTGCGTTCGGAGTTACAAACTCAGAAATCATGCAGCAAATTAAGTAAAAACTCCTGATCTGCATATTTTTGCTGCATCTTTGATTTAGAACGTATTAAAGCTACTGTATCAGCATGACTGCCATAGCATTTTTAGAAGAGCCGTTGGCAATGGCTCCCTGCATAATTTCATCAATATGAGTTTTCCTTACAATTTGCTAAATATTTTAATGTTCACCCAATAGTATTTTTTAAATAATTTCTTTAGTCAACACAAGTGTAAATAATATTTCTTTACTGGTTATACAGTCTAGGCAAAATGATCAAGCATCTGTACACCATACTTATAATACAATAGCATATGTTGGGGAAAAATCAAAAGCAATTTATAATATCACTTTTTGCAATTCTCATCCACTTATTCTATATTTTGAAGACTGTATTACATGTACAGAGTTGTAGATTCTATATGTACAACAGTGCACATCACAGCCTGTCCTCCGGGACCAGCAGCAGGTCACGGTTTCCGGATCTCTTCCTTAAATTAAAGTGAGAATAGTGTGCAAATCCCTGGAAATCTGAGAAAAAAATATTTGTTGGCGATCTCAGAGGACTGATTTGTGAAATGTCAAATAATGCTCCAGTTGCTTCCTTTATATGAAACCAGACCTGCTGTAGAGTCGACATAAGGTGGATAAGCCACCTAAAGGCTTTCGATTTCATGGGAGAGGTAAAATATAAGGCACTTATCGCCATGTTGTACTACTAAGCTGAAAACCATAGTGTTTGTATTTGATGAAAAAATATGATTATCACCATAAACAGGTGTAATTACATTTAAGAATAGAAACGGTTTTAATACAAACATCGAAATGCAGTATTATGATTATTTGCAATAAACTGATCACCTACATCACAAACAAAACCTTTAAAATGCTTTTAGATTCTGACTAATTGTTGCTGGAAATGTCATAATTCCCTTGGTAGAAGGCCAGGCGTTTTGGATCATTGCATGCCTTGTCTGTATATTATACTAACAATTGCTTTTACTTTAACGCATAAATGAAAATCTCTACTAAGTGCTGTTTCTGGTCTAAATCAGGAAAAAACTCTTTCTCCTACTAATTCTTTACATAAGCTATGCTGTTAATCGGTATAATATAGTTGGGGTGTCCATAAGATGTCCTTTCATTTGATTTGTTTTTGGGAATTAATGGAGTTTTTTTGCAAGCAGAAGCTACATTCCCTGTTAGAATTGTGTTCAATAAAACATTTCCATCCTGCACCATTATTTTTTTCATCACTATGGCCATAATCCTTGATTTGACCCCATTAACTATTCAGAAATCAAACAAAGGTGCTTAACAAATGTTTTCACACAAAATTCGACTGGTGTATGGACTGCTTGAGTCCCTGACCTGGAACAAGTCTGGTTAGAGTATCATCAGAACACATAGTCTACATATAGTACTTGTTCTAAGTCAAATGCTGGTTAGGAATTGCTGAATGATATTTGAATACTGCATTGACATTTGCTAGACTGACAGATTATTTTACTTTTATTTCTATTAAAATGTAGGCGTTGACTGTGACATTGACGTTCCAAAGACTATTCAGATGGTAAGATCTCAACGATCGGGAATGGTTCAGACCGAAGCACAGTACAGGTTTATATACATGGCTGTACAGCATTACATAGAAACTTTGCAGCGCAGGATTGAAGAGGAGCAGGTATGTAGGCTTGGAATGTGTGGGATAACAGAATTAAATGACCCTGGTTTAATGATTTATTAACATTTTATGTATAGAGGGACAGACTTGGGTAATTTTTGCAGTGATGGACATATAAAACCAGTTGTGGTGACGTGTCCCTCATCAACTCTCATTCAAAACACAGAAAAATTCACCTGTATTAAAGGTTTGGTGAATGTCAGTAAAAGGCTTTGCTTTGCAGTTGTGTATTATTGTGCAGCATCCATGCCATTTTTTTCTGTCTTTTTATAGTGAAACATCAGGAGTGGCAAAAAAAGAAAACTAACTATCGCACATTGTTACCCATTTCTGCAGGGAAAATAGTTGGTGCACTTGCTGAAGCTGTTAAAAGCACTAAATGGCAAACTTGTGAAATTTAATGTAAAAACATTTGCAGTACCACCATTGTTTAAAATGCTGAACCCCACCATCCCTTACTTTAGTTGTCAGTGGGAGTTCCCAACTCAGAAACAAAATGTAGCATGGCACTTGTTATCCCTGAGGGTGGTGAGTAGATCAGTGCTGTTAATCGATCCACGACCCCACTGAGGATCATTTACAAGCTGTTCTTTTGTTACAGCTGTATTTTGAAGCTTTCCCTTTTCCAGTATTTGCAAGTGAAAAAAAGCTAAAGTTTTTTGTTTTCCTAAAATTTCATAGGATTAATAAATGCCCCTTCATAAGTAATCCGTAGAAAAAAATAAAAAATAAACCTGCAGAAGTTGGCAGTGGGAGCAATATATGCAAAGGCATCAGAGTAAAATAAATTCCTCTGTGTCAATGGTTTGTGGGAGTAATAAAAGCCCCTGCATCAGTAGAAGTATTGAATGCTTTGGTGTTGGTACATACCCCTTTGTCACTGGGAAATGGTGCCCCATCATTGGTGTTTAGTAGTTATTTCCTTTGTATGCTCAATGTCCCATGCTGCTCCTCGTAAGGAAATCACGGTGCGGACTATACAGACACTATGTCATAAAAAAAAAAAAAATGACTATGAGAGTTATACAAAATCAATTGAGCTGAATTTTTGTAAACCAACATAATTGTAAAATAACTAAAGCTGAACTTCAGGCCATAGAAAAAAGATCTCTCCGGCACCATCCTGAGGATGTAGTAGAAGGAATTTTTGACTTGAATCTTAGCTATTACGGAATATTCATCTATATAGTCCTTTTGAAAGTTTTCATTGGCAATGGCTGCCGGGTAGATGGTTGTTCAGGGCGCCCTATATGTGTTCCTGTTCATTACATTTTCTAAGAGCCCTTTGTCTACAGTTAGTCTGTGGGTTGGCTCTTGGAAATGTGAGGTGGAGTTGTGGGTGGGAATGTGTGCAAGTTTGTAGGAGTGACGTGGGAAGCAGAAGAATCCCTTCTCTTCACAGTATCTAAGTACAGTATATCATGCGATCATACCAGTGCTGATATGGTACTGGCACATCTAGCCGACCTACTGTGCTGTACACAGTTTGCCCAATAGTTTGTGTATATGCCAAAATCCCATTCCACCGTTTCCTCACACTCTTTTGAGCTTTTAAGCAGCCAGGAGTTTCTGGATGGTGATCATTGGATTGAGGCATGGGCATGTGGGGGGTTGTTGGGCAGAGAGAGGCACAGATAGCAAGTCATCCCCATTTGATTCCTCACACAACACTAGGATCATGGTGGAGAGAGGTGGAGTAAACCCATTCAACAACATTAGCAACTAGGATACTTCTGCTGCAAGCAACCATAACTTGGTGCTGCTTGATCAGAACTACTCAAGGGCAGAAAAATGACTGGTCACCCAGCACAGTAGTCTGGAATGACTAGTCTGCACAACAGGAAATGTTTGTAAAAGAATGTGGCTTGCTGGTGTGATGCAAATTATTATTTATGTAAAGATAAGCGTGCTGCTACACCATTCAATGCCATAATCTATGTGCCTGGAGTTGAGGTTTGAACATGTAATATCATTTTACACTTTGTGTTATAAAACATGCCCTGCATTGTGTTTTGTTAATCAGTTCATGTTTTATTCTGGTTTCAGAAAAGTAAGAGGAAAGGACATGAATACACAAATATCAAATATTCCCTTTCTGAACAGACAGGGGGAGACCAGAGCCCTCTTCCTCCCTGTACCCCCACACCATTGCCAACACCCACACTTCCAGAGTAAGTAAATGATTGTATATATTCTTACCAGTTTGAGGCTGTGTCCAGTCTGCAACAGAAAAAAAACCTAATTCTCATCTGTCTGTCATTTGGGAAAAACCCATCATATGTTTGTGTTCCTAGCCATACAGCATACCGAAAAACCGAGCTTACTCTCGGTAACATACATTGCTTTTAAGTCTTTAACTCTTTGTTGGGACGAACAGTGTTCAAAACTACTTTACAACTGATAATGAAAAGTAAACTTAACTTTGCACAGCCTTCTTCTTAACATTACATAGGGGGAAGATTGATAGTACATTAAGCACCTAAAATCTAAGCAGAAGATATGCAATGTAAATGGGAAGATATAACAAACATAAAATATTTGTTATCCCAATCTAGCTGCGAAATCATTAACCTAGGAAAACAAGTCAACAGCGACCACTCCCATTTGTTTTGTCTTGAAAGATTGCATTTCATTTTAAAAGTTACAAATTTGTCACAGAAATGGAAATTCAGACAACGCTACATTGAAATGCGTGTTCGTCTTACCTTAAATATTGTGTTCTAGATAATGTGTGGTCTTTCGGATCAAAGTATATCGGTATGAAGTTTACATCTCAGACTTTTTCATATTTGTACAGAGAATCTATTTACATTGCTATAAGGAACGATTATTGGAGAGTTGCTTGGTATTGATCACATAGATGTGCCTTGCAGTAAAATAATTTCCTGGAATTATCAAGGGAACCTGCTGGCTTAAAACCTCCAACACTAACTACCTGCAGTATTCTCTGTTGGGCCTCTAGGGATTCCAGCAATTGAATTTCCTTACTTTCGTTTGATGTAGCTTGCAGAAGTTTAACTCTTTCAGCACACGTAAGCTTGGTAGTATGTCATATTTACTGAACCTTTATGGTTAAGGTGGACCTTTACCACCTTTTCCCTAAATATCACATCAGCATGCTGCTCTGCATTCTCATATGAAATCATCTTACACTCATTAGTTAAATACACATAGTTTTCTTTTACGTACAATTACTGTTTTTCCACTTCCTGGTCCTCTTAGGCATTAGTGATGTAGCCTGTGCTTAAGAGATGCATCCTGGGAAGGTTACATCAGCAGTGCATTGCTGGGAAATCATCTGTAAACTGCTAAATCCCACAAAATTTCAGGTAAAGGCACTTTTTCCCCCTGAGATGATGTGCACCGTCACATGTTCAAGTCACATGTGTGAGAGTTCCAGGAAGTAAAGGAAGATGGATTAATCTACAAATAGTTAAAATGGCCACCATGAGAGAAGAATGGGGAGGAAAAGAAAAAAAGCCTGCAGTTATCTAGAAGTATGTGTTTTTGTAGATTGTCATTACTCAACATTTGGAAAGGTGTCCTTTTGTTGTCATTTTAAAGATATGGGTAAAGTTCCTCTTTAACTGCCTCCGGGCCTGCCGTAGTAGAAAAACGGCCGGCCCGGAGAGTCTCTGCCATTCAATTCTAAACTAAAGAAGTTGAGTAAGTTCACTTTACAAAGTAAATTTTTTCTTTGCTTTATGAATGGGGTAAAGATTAGTAAAAAATCACTTTGCAAAGAATACACAGTCCAGTGGAGAAAAATAAAACAGTATGGGTCTTGAGCAGGCGTGGATGTCCAAAAAAAAAGTTTTTTTTTTCTAGCAGAAAATTGGATGATTTAATTCAGCACAACTTCATCTCATTCACTCAGCTAAGTAAATTTTTACTTTAATAAATCATTCCCACTGTGTTCACTATCCTCATGTCACTAACAGTCAAACATATAAAGTGCATTCAGGAAGTATTCAGACCCCCTTGTTCAATAGGGTTCAAGTCGGGGCTTTGGCTGAGCCACTCGAGGATATTCACAGAGTTGTCCCTGAGCCACTCATGTGTTGTCTTGGCTGTGTGCTTAGCATCGTTGTCATGTTGGAAGGTGAACCTTCGGTCCAGTCTGAGATCCTGAGTGCTGTGGAACAGGTGTTCAATGAGGATATCGCTGCACTTTGCTCCATTCAGCTTTCCCTCAACCCTGAGCAGTCTCCCAGTCCCTGCTTTATCCAATTAATCGAAGTTAATAATCGGCTGACTAATCGATTATGAAATAATCGTTCGCTGCAGCCCTAATAGTTATGGTACTTGAATGTATTTTTAAGATTTAACTTTTAAGTGTTTTTTTATTTTTTTTATTTTATTTTGTTGGAGCGAGGAGGTACAGGATATATAGATATTTGATGTTTATGATCCCTGAATCATGATCTGGCAAAGGAAAACGAATATCATGCTTGTGTACAGGACTTGTGATCCACATATTCCTTAAGGTGGAACTAAAACCGTGGATTAAAAAGAAAGAAATGGGCCCCAGGAGCTGTTTGCAATGATGTGCTGGTATGCACAACATATTAGCTCATTATCGCAGACTTATCTACAGATGTGGTCCCACCCAAAGCTGCTCCCCTTTGTCACTTGCGTTTCCATCTTCTGGTCCTCTTCTGGGTTCCGAATCTTCAACCCCTTGATTGACCTGCTCCAGGTGACGTAACTCCCACGCATGCACATAGGAGTTACTTCATCTCTGCAAAAATCCTGCCAAGTAATTAGGTATTCGTCTCCTACTGAACATCAATCATGCTCACTCAGCATCTACAACACCTTTGAAAATGGGACAAAGTGCTACATGCACTTTGTCCCCTCGGGGGCAGGAGGAACAGAACATGCTTCTGGTGGTTTAATTCTTTTGCTTGTGCTGTGTTTTGTACTTGTGCACTGCTATTCAAAGCGTACAGGTACATAGCATGTAGTAAATCCAGCCTCTTGGAAGAAAGAGTTGCACCTTGGCCCTCTACCTAATCCCCATGCCAGGAGCTTCCTATTATTAAGAAGAAAATTGTGCACAAAAGCCTCTGAGTCCATGAACGGCAAGAACTACATACTTTGGAAATATGTCCAGCTGTTTTCACCAGGTACAGGGACAAAGGAATGAAGGGGCGCAGCTAGCAGAACTCTGTGAGATTCTAGAGTTCCCTGTGCTGTCATGTTATACTTTGACATCCTTGATGCTTTATTTTTAGATTGGTGATTTTATTGAAGGCAGATTAGATATGAAGGATTGGTGTCTGAACAAGTAGAAAGAATGACATAATTTTATATAAACTGTATCTGAACAAGTAGAAAGAATTTGCTGTATTTATTACCGAAGAAAAAGGCTTAATGTGCTGTGGAAATATGTGTTTATAGTTTGTTTCTTCTGTGACCCGTCTGCTTTCTGAACACTAGACACAGGAAATTGCAAAGCTGAAGTAGGGCATAGTCCTGACAACACTCTCCTACAGAGTTGTGTAATCCTAAAGACTAATAATTGAAAACTCTAGTGCTAAGTGTATGATCCGGCAAAAAGTGTATATGTACACACCATATACTATAAATAATGCAATTAAAAAATACATATATAATGGAACAGACCAGTATATAAAAGGTGCTCCATCTAAAACCAAGTCCACTGCTTCATATTATATGTCAAATGCTTGCCACAACTTATAAAAAGGTTAATGGCATCTCCCTGCCTCTATTAGAGCTGCAGAGTAATAGGTCTAACAGCTTAAAGTCCAAGTAGGCATGCATTCACACTGCTGTGTGTACTGAGAGACGCCATCCGGACTTAAGGTGGCCATACACGGTAGGGATGCACCGATACCGATACCAAGTATTTGGGTGAGTACTCGTACTCGCCCAAATGCTCCGATACCTAGCACGAGTACTTCCTGTATCAGGAAGCCGGGCAGCGCATCATTACACGCTGCCCGGTTTCCTGATTGGCCAGGAAACGGCTCCATGCTCTCTCGTCACTTGTGATGAGAGAGCATGGAGCCGACTTCCCGGCCAATCAGGAAGCTGGGTAGCGTGCAATGACGCGCTGCCTGGCTTCACCATTGGTCAGGAAGCTAGCAAAGCCGGGTGCCGTGTAATGATGTAGCGCCCGGCATTCTGATTGGCCGGGAAGCCGGCGTCATGCTCCCTCGTCATCTCATGAATCATAATATTAAGACAGTGACCTTAAAGCAATAGTTTGTATTGCTTTCGAAAAAATGTGACCTGTCCTTTAAGAAAAAGTATCGGTAATTGGTATCGGTGAGTACTTGATCAAAAGTATCGGTACTCGTACCACAGCCACCAAAAAAAGAAAGAAAGCAATAATAGTGTATTGCAGAGAGCTAAAGTAGATTTGGGCACTGAAGGCCCTCTTTAATTTTGCACTGACTGTCATTTTGCATTCCAGTGCATGTGTATTCATGTGATGCTGACATTTGTAACTTATCAGTCATTAGTTTGCCAATTTAAATATTAATATTTCTAAATCTCTTATTAATCGGATCATTTTTTTCCCCTGTAGAGTGCTTGTATAGTTATTTTTTGATCCTCTACCTTTTCATGATGAGTAAGGAGCCTCATTTATCAGTCTTCCTGATTGTTAGTCTAGACATGTTGATAAATAATGCACAGTTTTTTTTTTTGATATGTAGAAGTTTTAAATTGTAGACTATAATTACTGGCCCATCTTGGCCATAACAGACTTGGAAGCAGGTCACATTACAAAGAATATTGACAGAGTTTGGGAGATAGACTCATCCAGGGCTTAGTGGGAGATGTGTGCAGTTATACTCTGTTTATGCAGATCCCCTGACATTTGGAATTAAAGCGTCTTAATCTGTCTAGAAGTGCAGTGATACTACTCTGCCTTTTAGCTCTGATCTCTTCCCAGGTAACGGAGCACTAATGAAAGATGTAAGTGATTTTACTTTACATCCGTATTTGTGTGCTGAATGCTTTTTAAAGTGACGCTCATGACAAGCATCAAATGAAAGCTGTCTGGTATGTGATCCTAAGGTGCCAGCTGATCCAGGTTTTAAACATTTGTTCTTGAAAATGTTCATCACTGCTAGGCTCCTTAGTGAAGCCCATAAAATGCAAATATGCTGCATTTTATAGCGGTGCACAGGATGTCACTGCAGGTTGCTGCAGGACAGCGTAGCGCACCACACACACTGCCATGCACGGATGTGACTGGAGTGTACACATTGTACGGTTAAAAAAAATGTAAACCATGACATCTCCGGCAGTGGGAATACATCGCACAGTACTGGTGCTGCCACAATGAACTAGACGGTCCGCTGAAATGCAGCTTTTTAGTGGACGGGCTAGTGTGAATGGGACCTTTTTAAGGTTTTTGCACAGTGGCAGCTGAATATTTAGAAGTGTCCTGGGCATGTCCAGTTTTCAGTTTTCTGTCAAAATAACTATCTTACCACCATTTTGCAGAGGACTTGCTGTTGATGGGAAAGTGTCAACTGCACATATCCACACTGGTACAAAGGATGTCTTTTGAAGGAGCCAGCCGCATGGGACCAGTATGCATATGACCAGTGAACACCAATATAAGGAGCCAGTTCTTCAATAATGGGCTTTTATTATGGAGGGTACCACTGCATTGTGTCTGTTGTGCGTGATGTGCACATTCCTGTGCTCTATATCCTCTGACTTACCGCACTCTATAAAACATGCTTTGATGGTCTCCTCTGCACTCTGTATGCCATGCTACACATTACATGCTCCTGACTGCTGCACTCTGTATACCATGTTCTAAATAACATACCCTAGACCTCTACACTTTGTACAATGTGCCATCTCCTGCACACTGTAAATTACATTTAGTATATCAGACTACTGCACTCTGCAGAATGTCCTGTACATTATATTCTTTAAAATGCTGCACCCTTTTTTCCATAATGTATGTTACTTCTGACAGCTTTACTCTGTGCACCAATCAGTACATCACATATTCCTGAACGTTACACAGTGTGTGCTACATACCTTGCACTGCTGTGCTCTATTAGTTGATGATAGCCATAAATTTCATAAAATTCTGGACTATTCTATCTGGACCACTGCGTTCAGTCTGTTGTGCTGTATGTGACATAATGCAGACTGCTGAACACTGTATGTTGTTTGGTATGTTACTTATAGCGCACCCCTTCACTGTATGGTTTGCTTTATGTTACATAGTTTGCACTGCTGCATATGTTGTGCTGTATATAACCTACTCTGGGCCACTGTAAAGCTGTATGTTTTCCAATATATTACCATATAACCCGAAGCACTCTGTATAATGTCTTATGGGTTACATTACTGTAACCATTGAACTCTGTTGTACATTTGTGCCACTAGGAATCGTTCTATTAACGTGGAATGTCATTTCAATAGGATATTTTGAGCTAGGGCAAAATACAAAGTTTATTGGTGGGCACTGCACTCAGATAAGAGCAAAACCCACTTGGCCTCAAATCCTCGATCGAGTGGAAGAGGCACTTGCAGGTCTTGTATTGAAGCAACATAAATAGACTTATTGGTTGACGTTTCAAAAGGGCACTCCTTGTTTTGCGAAAGGCACATATACATAGTGTGTGTGTGTGTGTGTGTGTGTGTAAAATTTCGGCAGCCGCAAATGGCACTTTTCGCAAAATGCAGAAAGTGCCATCTTTCGGCTGAAATAGCGGTGCATCCCTGCTTTCTCTCTTCCCCACTGGGCATCGCTCTGTGCCCTAGTGTGTAAGAGAGAAACTGTCACAGGAGGCCGAGCGGGGGAGGAGAGCGCTGTCAGAGGCTGACGTCTCTCCTCCTGCACCGCTCAGCCTCCTGTGACAAATTTGGAGAGCGGTGTGGGGGCCGGAGACGGCTGTCAATGCTGTCACAGGAGGCTGAGCTCTCCTCCTGCCCCGCTCAGCCTCCTGTGACAGATCAGGAGAGCGGCGGTGTGTGGGTGGAGACAGCTGTTACAGGAGGCCTGGCCAGTGCTGCAAGGTAGGAGTCACCTGTCACAGGAGACTGAGCTCTCCTTCCCGCACCACTCGCTCAGCCTCATGTGACAGCCGATCCAGGATGGAGAAGCGGGTACAAGCAGTCAGCGATTGCTGAGTGTTTGTAAATAATTGAGGACATAGTATGTTTACTGTGTACCCAATTATGAATGAATGGGAAGTGATCTACATTACTTCATGTTAATTCATGATTGTCGACACAGTAAACATTATCTCCAAGTTCTGAATGAACAGGAACACTCAGTATAGAGGATTCCTGTTCATTTATAACCGGGGATGCAGAAAAAGAGATTTTGGACTCTGTGTTCTCAATCTTCTTTTCTATTTTAAAAAGTAAATGCAAGGGATCTGTTTAGACCCCCAGTATCTCCCTAGAGACCCCAACAGTAAAGTAAAAACGTTTAAAATATTTAATAAAGTTTATAAAAAATAAAAGTAAAGTATTTTTTTTTTTTTAAAGTGAAAAAGTTAGGCAAAAAAAACATTTGCGGTTACGGCCTGACATTGTTTTTTCGTTTTTCAGTTTTAAAATCTTCATTTTGGTAT